TTCCCTCTCCTTCAGCTGCAGATGCTTACACGTTTGTAGGCATTTCTTTCATTATTCACTTCTGCAGAAGGAAGTCTTGCAAGAGCCAGTCAGTGAAGTTGAAGGCCAGACTACAGTTTGTGTTGTCTTCTGAGTCTCTGTAGGGTGCAATGCCTCCTTTGGGTTGCTTTGTCAGAGACATCTGTTTCCATGTGGGAAATGTGTCTGTTGCAAAGAGATGGTGAGGCAGCCCTTGAGCTAGCAGGAATTCCTTGGACTGGAATTAGAGCCAAAAAAAGATGTGTACAGGAAAACTGAAAACACTATTAAGCGGGCGTGTGGAAGGAAGCGATGTTAACAGCTTTCTTTTGAAAAACACTATACTTTTTCATTTTGGCACAGACATCAGAAGCTCAGAGAAGGGAAACAATGGAAGAGTAGCCAAAATAAATGCCCTCCTGTCTACCAGGAAATGGTGGTGGAGGGTAACTTAAGATGGTCTGTTTAGCTGTCATTATACATCTTGTGGATTTGTCTGATTTTATTTTTGTTTTTAGTGAGACAGTTAAATATTTGTGTCCATGTGCTGTTACACAAAGGAGCCAGGCAGCTAGTAGCTGCTGCTTTGTCACTGCATTTGCCCTCCTGGCACAAAGCAATGAAACCTCATTAATCAATAAATCTTGTATTGACTGGTAAAAGAAAACATACATTAACTTTGGCATTTCCTTCCAGCTGCAAATAAACAAATACAAAATGCCTGCCTTGTGCTATAATTTTCATTGGAACACTGTTGGAGACATTTGCAGCTAGTCCTATGTAAACATTGCTAGATTTAGGGAGCGCTTGGAGGTTGTTTCCTGTAATAAATATCTCCAGGACATCTTAGGAAAGGACACTGGAATAATTTTCTCTGAAAGTAATTTCTGTCCCTATTTTACTTTCATAGGCTTCAATTTGAATATTTTGAGCGGCCTAGACTTAATGTTTACATTTTTATTTTGTGTGTTTTTGTTTATATTCTCATTCTGTTTTCTCCTTAATAAAAGACCATGTTTTGAGAGAGTAGAAATGCTGAAAAAGCATCAGAATACTTTCCCAAAGTATTTTAAGTAGTCCTTGCCTTTCTGATGTCCCTCTGCGTATGAACTTAAACATGTGAGACCAAACTGCCATGTGAACAGTTGTACTGATCTCAGGTGGATTATAATGGCACTTAGAACAGGCATTTATTGGCAGCTGGCTTCCAGTATGAAGCAGGACTTAACCAGGCATTGCCCAAACACAGAAGTGGGAATTTTGTTGCAAAATGCATATACATGGACCAGATTCTCTGCATTACTGTTCTGTGGTTGGTTTTGTGTTTGTTTGGTTTTTTGGTGTTTTGTTTTATTTTGTTTTGTTTTGTTTTGTTTTGTTTTGTTTTGTTTTGTTTTGTTTTAATGAAGTGAAGACTTTGGATCCAGATTTTCCAGTTTCAGTGGATTCATCTTATTGGCTGGGAGATCAAATATTCAGTTCTCATCCTGCTACTGCTTATATACATATATACATGTATACAAACATATACAAGCATCTGTTTGAAGTAGTGACATTAGAGCACAAACTCTTAGAAATAAACCAGGATCTTTCTCTCAGCTGTGAAATGTTGCTTTATATAGCCAAATAAGGGATTGGGAGATGCAGGCAGTATACAACCCCTTGAAACCTCTGAACCCCAAGTCCCTGAAAAAAGCAGAACTTGTCAAACTGTCCTCTAAACAACCTCCTTGGCTTTATAAGCAAAGTCTGAATATTGGGTTTGTATCACTGTATAGTTTTGATATCACAGGCTTTGCAGCTTCATAATAGTTGCAGAATCTGGCCCCTTAAGAGCGAAGGATTTCAGTGATGATTTAACGGGCTTATATCTCATTTATTTTGTGTATTTCCCAGGAAAGTTTAAAGACAATTAAGTTATACAGCCAGCTTTAATTATTTATGATCTTGGCTTTATTTGATCCTGAAGGCCAGACCTTGACAGCAATTGGACGGTAATAAGAGAGCAGATCCAGATGGAGTCCATGGTTCTCAAAGGACTTCTCCCAAACACCAAATATCAGTTTGCTGTCCGAGCAGCAAACTCCTATGGATCCAGTCCTGCCAGTGAACCAAGTGACGTCATCCGAACGTTCAGTGAGTAGAACCACCTTTTTTTTTATAATTAAAGCTATATAAAAATAAAACATACCTGTGAACAAAGTGTATCTGGGGTAGCCTGTGGAGGGCTGCTGGTGGAAGGAGTCATTTTCCAAGCATAGGCTCCCCCAGTCTGACACCTCTTGGTCCTCTCTGTGGAGCTTGCAGCATCCTGTGAAAGTTGAGCCACAAGCAAAGATTTGAAAAGCACCAAGCAGAAATGCTCTCATGTCGCTTCTCTGCCCTGGAGGTCATTGCTGGATATTTTTGGATAGCTGCTTACTGACTTTTGTACTGGCTTCTTACAGAACTTCTTCATGGGAAGAAATGAGAAAGACAAGCCTATTGGTCATCTTTTTTTTTTTTTCTGTTCTTTGAAACTGAACCTTCTGTGGTACATTTACAATTTAAACAACTCAGAAAGCCCAAAGCAAATCTATGCTATTTCTGAAGAGTAAGGCTCTTAAACTATTCAGCGCAATCATGAAAATAATGATATAACAAAATAAGCATCCCTTTTTGATCAGAAGCTTTATAGCAAAATTATTTGGTGAAAATGCATTCAGCATACTTGAATAATTACAACTGGTTAACTATTACATTCACATCTCTGTAGCTATGTAGGCCTTGCACACTGCAATAAGGAGTAGGTAATGAGCCCATCTGCTGGTGGCCTTCTTCAGGATATAATCCTCTGTCAGTGCTAGTGTCTCTGTGGGCTCACTTTGAGGTGTTGTTGCACCTCATCACCTTCAAAATCATAGTTGTATGTAAGAATCCAAACCAAGCTGACACAGAGCATGTTAGGAATTATGTAAATCATGTCTCTCATATAAGAAAAACCCCAATGTCACAAAAAAAGAAAAAAAAAAAAGAGTCAATGCAGGAAGCACAGCCAAGGCTGGTAGGATAGGAGGACTAACTGAGCTATACCCTTAAAGTGCCAAAGTTTTTATTGTGTTTACAAGGTCTCAGTACGTTTACATTCCAGTTTTGAAGGCATTTACAGTGGACAAAATACCACACAAGAAAATGCCTGGATATGATTTTAACGCATTAATTAGCTCACTAATTAACTTTAGTCAGAAAAGTTAAAGTGTTCATCTGTGTTAAAAAGGGTGGGGTATTCTTCATGCTGTGCCTGCTACTGTGGCACTTCAGAAAAGGCAATTTGCTTTTGGAAGGTGCCTATTCAGCAGACATCTGTCAAGATGGCTCCTAGACATGGACTTCAGTCACTACAGCTTGGAATCAAATTCATGCCCGATGTATACGAACGTTGTATATGAACATTCTGGAGAGGTTTATAGGAAGCATGAATTTGATTCTCTGTGCCTGGACCAGATCTGAAAAGTGACTGTGTTAGGCATGCTGCAGAGCTCTCTGAACAGGCTCAAAACTCTGTGCTAGTCCATGTGGGTACTGCTGTGGATGAGGTTGATCTCCCCGCACCAAGGGGCTGGCAGTGCTTGGAGGAGACCCTAGCAAGTGGACAGACGTCCTGCAGCCTGGGGCCACCTCACGTCCGTGATGTGATTCAGCCCTGCCCCTGGTCACTTGTACTTAGAGCTGATTTGACAAACGGAGCCCTTTCACAAATGCAAATGCGATTCCTTTGCCAGTCTGCTCTTAGTTTCCAGGGTGGATTTTGCAAATAGGCTTGAAAACTACATATAACCACTATGAATGAAAGCCTGTGTTATCCTTGTTACCTTCACAACAACCAGCTTTTTGGGGATCAAGGATTGGTGTTCAAAGGCAAGAGAGAATGCATGCCTTTAGAAAAAAGTTCTGCAGCTTTCTACAAGGAGTACAACTGAGTATAGCAGCTCTTACTTGGTTTTATTTGTGGTGTCTGTGAGAGAGACTGGTTTAATGTTAACCAGATACACAAGGACATGGAGCATTAGTAGAAGAGCTAAACTTCTGTGGCGCACTGTTCTTGATTAAAGCCATGCATAGTCTGAACATTGCTTTTTTTCTCAAAACTAAAAAAATCTTGAGGAGTAATTTAAACTGTTGACAAGTTTCATGTAGCAAAGAAATGCATGTTAACAGCAACCAAATAAAAATCAGTCCTAGTTCTCATTATGTATCTGTAGGTACCTGGCACCTTCTAGCAGGCGGAAAGACAATACTTACCTTCTTTCGCCCAGTTAATCATTTGTTTCTGCTGCTCAGGTGTAGCCATTTGGTGGAGCTGAGGTCCTCTAGATCCTGTGGTTCTCAGCTGTCCCTGCAGGAGGGCATGGGCCTCCCAGGCATCTCCCAGACACCTGATAGTTCTGTGGGAATGTCTCAGGTACCCTAATACATCTCAGATGGCTTCAGATGCCTGATTCTCTCAAGGTGCCAGCAGATACTTCTTAGTCACTTGTTGTTGCTGGAAGGGTGTCAGTCAGTTGGTACTTTTGGAAATGAACCATCCTTGCTCCTCAGAGTGCACATCCTAGGAATTACCATCTTCATTATTACCATGGTTCTTCCTTTCATGTAAAGAGGGGAACGTGGCACAGATATTTAATGCTATTTTCTCACTGCCCGTGTATATATACCTCAAATATCTTAGGAAGCTGGCAGAAGTTCATACTATAACTGGCTCCTTTGCATTATACTTAGTCCACATATTGCTGGCACTAAGGTCCTTAGTGTGTCTGGATTTTAAAAATTTGTAGCTTTATGCCTTCATATCCTGTTTTTTTAATGCTTATTTTGAAATACAACATGCATAAGTGTTTTTCTGATACTTTAACTGAAGAACAAATTCCGAGCGTTGCTTCAAATGCAGTGGACTTTCAGGGTTCATGTTGCTTTGTGCAGTTTCTTGCAGCTCTTCTAGGCAGGCTGAGAGAGACGTGAGTCCTGCAGACACTGACTCCACATTACTTGGGGATGTTTTCTGCTAGAGTTCATGTCATTCTCACATGTAGTTCTCTCATTTTGGTTTTAAAAGGTGTCTGGCTTTGCACTGCTCCTGACTGCATTGTTTCACATCAGCATGGGAAACCATTGTCTTTATTTGCCAAAATGTTCCTCTGAAGAGATGCTGATGGTATCACCTACTGTGACAGACCTCCCAAGGTCCTTACAAGTAGAGCATGTGGCTTTGATTATAAGCTGTTACCTCTCACCTAGTGAAAAATGCAGCTTGGTTTATGTTACATTGCTCCATTTTCAGGGAGGAAAAAGAGGGCAAGTTTCCCCAAGGGTTCTCATTTGTTTGTGGTTGGTTTCATATTTTCTTCTAGGGGGAGCTGATGTAATAAATCAGTTTTTGTTGCCTTCCTTAATTACAGATGCAGGTTATGGATATTTCACTTATATTTTTGCTGCATTTTTTTCTATATTGAATCTTTCAATGTATTGTGGACAATTTACTTGAAAGCTAAATATTGCACATATCCAGTTTAGTAACAACAAAATAAACTGTCCGAAAGAATCAGACAAACAAAATGTCATCACCTGCATGACTTAAATACCCTTCATCTCCTGGGGAAACAGATGGGGTTTGCACTGTGTCTGGAAGGTCATCAGCCTTGGGCTTTGCCAGACCAACAGAGGAAGCGTCTTCTGTTAAAAATAACCTCCTGCTTGCCTCCACAGCAAATGTGACAGAAGTGGCTGCTTAATTTGGGTACATCCCTTCCTCTGGTCCTGGCTGTTACTACTTGACTTCTCACAAGTCCGGGATTCCATATGCTCTGGCTAATACTGAGCAAGACATTAGCACAGGTGCTTCATTATTCTGCATGATGCTTGTCAGCTGAGGTTCATGCAGATGAAAGGGCAGTCCCTTTGGCCAAACCCTTGATTTGTATCATGGTGATGTGTCCAGGAGATAGCAAATGAAGAAAGCTTTCTACAAGACTGTTTCCCACAGATCACCAAAGGCTTTATAAAGGCAGTGTTTGTGTTTATAGGGACAGGAATGGAAAGCAAGAGACAGGCCAAACAATATGCAGTGCTTCACTGTGAGTCACTGACAAGAATAAAGCTCAGATTAAAATGTCCCTGATGTATTTTGGTTTTAGACCTGTGGGGGATTCTGCATGAAGGCAATCATTCTTAACACTTCCACTTAATCTACCCACACTGGGGGCTGCCGAGGGGTCTTCGTTCCCCACTCACCTGTGTCTTCTGATCAGTATGCTGGTGACCACCTAATCAGCAAAAGAAAAGCTTGTGTGGCTTTATATTTGTTTTGTGAAAGATTTCTTTGGTGTAACTTAATCCCTGATTATTTGGAAGGAAGCTGTCTGAGGTTCATGACTCCCAGCAGGTTTTCCAATTAATTATTAAACAGGATTATAGGACCTGGTAGAGGGTCTTAAATAGGCTTCATCTTCTTGTACATTGAAACACGGATTTAATTAAATATAGCACGCTTATAATCTCTGTAGTCATTGTTTTGGTATTTGCATAGCACCACTTTGCCTACTTGTGTCTGATTTGCCACCATGAGATAACCTAGATGAGCTCTCCACCCAAGCAGCACAGTGCTCTTAAGAGATGGGCTTGTGTGGACGTTTCTCTGCAAGAAGTCCTTTAAGATTCTCTGCTTTCTGTTTGTTTTGTAGTTTTACTGCATCGTATCACATTTAAGTATCGTCACATCCAGTCAGCAGACAGGAAATGTAGGAAGAGCAAGGCAACTGAGAAGCCAGTGAGCTGTTAGATGAGGTCGTCATTTCTGTGTGTACTCACCTGTATAAATTAAGCATAGCTAGAAGAGGGTACATCTCCATGACTTCATTGCTGCCGGGTGCATTATGTGTTACTAAAACTGCTCTCAGATCAGCAGGGAGAGTAATTTAGCATGTGCTGGCTGAAACTCTACGCCAGGGAGAAGCAAAAGCAGGGATCTGGGGCCCTGCTAGAGACCCGTGGATGTTAGGACACCTTCTGAGGTTGTACTTTCTCTGGTGTTGCCAAACGTACATCCTGAAATTCTCTTGAGGAAGGACCTCAAAGCAGACTTTTCTACCAGCCACAATAAGCCATCCCTTGTATGTGTTTTCCAGGCTGTAAATGTCGTACCAGTTCAATAAAGTGAAAGTAGTCATTATCTGGTTTAAAGGAGTGGGTACATCTCATCCCTCAAGGTCTTTCACTGGAAAATCATGGAACATTTTGGTCTGCCAGGTGAAAGAGGCACACCTTCTGCTTGGGAACTGCCCGACTCACCTAAGTTACCAGGTCTCATTGCATGCTGGTGGTTATTGATGTAGTTTAGTGATAACTCCATTCAAATCAGGAGAGTTACACTTCTGTAAAACTGGTATGGCATTCAAATCATGTCTATACATGTAAGCAAGTGTGCATATCTGAATATGAATTTGAGGACCGACGTTTTCCTACATGTGACATATGTTGTTCTCTGTGTTGCGTTTTTCCTGCCATCCTTATAGAACCTAAAACCCATTAAGCCAACAGAAGGTTTGCTTGAGAAGTGAAAAAATGTGGCAGAATTTGGACTAAACAGATGTTTATTTTGTAGCTTGTGGCTTCTAAATTAGAAGATGGAGTTGGTGTATTACAGTTTGAATACAGATTAGATTGCTTTCCCTGACACATGGTTATGATTTCTCCTTTCTTTCTTGCAGCTTATCTTTATGATAGTTTCTGTTATGCCTAGGTAAATTCCAATTCAATTCATAAGAACAATCAGGTTAGTTCTGAAATAATTCCAAACACGCAATATAGAGGCAACAAGAAATACTACAGACCTGACTTAAAAGCATCAGTATACCAGTGAGCTGAAAATTGCTGCCTCTGCTGGGAGCTGAGTTAGTGCTGGGCTCTGCTTTGTTCATATACTTCCTGTTAAACTGCAAGTTATATTTATAATACCTATGTTTGAGGTCTTGCACACTGAAATTAAATTTTTTGGTAATACATGTCTTGTAAAAGCACTGTTGCCAAAGAAGGAGATTCTGATCTAGTGGTGGATGGAAGAGGTCAAACTTACAGTTCAGCTTTATGATCCTTGTAGGTCCCTCCCAAGCAAACAAAATTATTCTAGTCTAGTCTAGTCTGTTCTGTTCTTTCTATTCTGTTCTTTCTACCTGAAGTAAAATTATCCTGTGGTGGTGATTAAACTGGGGTACTATACAAGTGAGTACTAGGAGTAAGAGATTTTGCTCATATTTTGATAACTGTTGTTTCTATAACGAATGCAGGACTGGGGCCAGTTTATCAGTGTGCAGTTTGTTTCTCCAGTAGTACTCCTTTGCCTATGCATTCACAGTCACTAGCAGAAATAATCTGGATGTAGTTTGTCCAGTTTTCCTCATCTCATTACCAGTCATAAAGCTATGAGTTCTCTGCTTAGCTTTGTTGGTAGAACTTTGTGCTGAATACTTCTGTTTAAAATACAGTTAAATTGTATTATCTGCAGATGATAGGCATAGATGTTAGAGTGGGAGGGCTTGGCTTATACACATTCTCTTGTGGTCTAACATGCTGTTTTGTTTGCAAGTGTGTGCCCCTCATTACCTGTAGTCATTTGCCTTTGATTTTGCTATATGCTGATATAATATGTAAACCCCATTGATAAGTAACACTCATAGAGCATATTATGGGCAACCAATTAGCCAGCTGAGCATGCATTCATTCATATCTGGTACACATATACTTGGTTTCATAACTGTCTGCCAGGATTTCTGGTTTGCAGTCACGTCAAAGGAGGAGAGAGTACATAAAGATTTAGACGAGTGCTCTCCGGCCTGAAGCAGGTCAGTGAGATACTTTTCCTTTATTCTCCACTGAGGTGGGAGACAGCTGACCCCAGTTAGATTGGCTCAAATGGCCTGGTAGCACTGTGCCCTCACGCTTCCTCTGCAGGTGGCTAACTTTTGCTGGCTCCATCAGGTTGTTCAGTGTTTGCAGTGAAGCTCTCACTACTATCATGTGGCATTTTCTAGGTTGTCAGGTCTCCTTTCTGCAGACAACCACTGCCCAGCAAGACTTTGTGTCTCTGCATGCTGCAGTGTGAAGGACTTCCTAACTCGTGAGAAAATATGCGAGCTTGTGGCTGCTAAAATAAACACACATAGTCAGCCCATAGAGAGGCTTTGTAAAGCTGCTGTTACCTATCCTGTTTTTAAGTAAAAATATATTATGGGAAAAGCAGATGTGTGAAGTCTGCTGTTTTAATGGTTACCAAGTGTCTGTATATTCTTAACCTTGCTGAAATGACAAGTAAGGATAGTGATGCAGTTACCTGTATTATCTTTCTTAATGAATTTTGGTAAATTTTAATAGCTAAAAAGCCTAAACAATTTTAAAAGCAGGATTTACTATGTAAAGTGCAGAAAAAACACAGCTATTTCCTGTGAAGATGCTCTTACTGTTCAAGCTGGCTGTTCCAGCCCGGAGTCCTTCACAGCGTGGTTCAGTGCTCCAGGGAGAGGCAGCAGCAGGTTTTACATGTGAAACACGCATGATGTTTGTACGTGTTTCTTTTTTCGAGGTGTTAAAACGCACTTTAGAAAATAGCCTAAAAATACACTTAGGATGTTAATTTCAAGAGCATTTGAGGTGGTGGAGGCAGATAAAGTCCTAAGGAGAGTGTGCCAGAGAAGCCCTACCTAGATGCATCTCTTGCTATTCCAGCTACTTGGTTGCCAGTAGGGCAGATACAGGACTGTGTGTTTATGGAAGGAAGAAGTGTGTTCTAAGACCAATTCAGTTATTAAAATGTCCATGCTGAAAAGATTCAGAGCTGTCACTTAGGTGAAAAAATTAAGATCTTCACCTTGTTTTAAGTTGCATGTGTGTCCGTTAAGACAGTGTCTTCCATCTTCAGGCTGACAGTTACCTTGTCTGCACAGGGAACATTAACACCAGATTTCAGTGTGGTGAATCAGGGGATGGTAAGATCTGAGCTGCTGTTTGTAAACAGAAAAAAAATATATGAACTGAATATGCCAGTTGTGTTTTTTTAGGCTCTGAGGAGTTGGGAAGTGGAAGCTATGGGCATCGGTATATCACAGACACAGTGACTGGTGATGATGATGGATTTGATATCGATGACTCAGATTACGACATTTACATAGAAGAGGTAAATTTCAAGATTTCACTCTGGCATTTCTGTTTTCTTTATAATCTCTGTATTTTAAAGTGTCAAATCTTGTCAGGAAGTTTAATGTCTGATATTAAGTGCTCAGATTTCTTAATAATGTGGTTGTGTATTTTTCTTCAGTGAGGATGATATTGTTGCCTCAAATCTTTATCTTGGATGACACTAATTTCATTTCCACATAGCATTTTTGGTTTTACTGAATTTGTGTGTGTTTATTTCCTTTCAGCTCAGACCACTTCCTGCTATCAAAGGAGGCAACAGAAAATTTCTGGTCAAAACTAAGGTCACACCAGGGTCCAGTTCCAGGCTCCTGTCACGGGTCCTGACAACTACTTCTGAACCTACTACTTCCATTCCTACCACCACAGAGCCTTCAACCACAGCAAGGGTGACAACAACTCGAGCGACAAGAAGGGGCAGCACATCTTCTGCCTTGCGCCTCTTTGACCTCTCCTGCGATGAGGCCATCTGCTCTGCAGACAGCTTTTGCATCAATGACTACGACCGGGGTGGCTCACGCTGCCACTGCAACTTGGGAAAAGGAGGAGAGACATGTGAGGATGGTAGGTCTCTGCGTGCCCACTGCTCCTGGCTTCTCTTTGCCTAGGGCAAGGAGAAGCTTTGTGATGAATGAACATTGGTGTGCTCTGGGAGTAGCTGGCAGGGCTTCATGGGTCCCTAAGGACAGCAACAGCTTCCATGTCCCAGAAGCCTTTTTTGCTTCTCTTTTCTCAGCTGGGTGTGAAGAAGTTCATTAATAAAGCTGAATGGAGGTCCCGTGTCAGGATGCACAGGGAAGGTTAATCCTCATTCCCCCACCTAAGAGTGGGAGGGTGTTGGAGCCAGGTATGCTGGTAGGTGCTCAGGCCTGACAGGGTCCAGTCATGGCATCTACAGCATCCAGAAGGGTCATTCAACCTTGCTTTGACCCTTGCCTTCTGCCTGCAGCTGACGCTCTGAACCACCCACATAACCAGTGTGTGGACCACCAAATGATGCTGATCCTGCAGCAGGGATGTGAGACAGAGCCCCCATTGTAAAACCATTTCCAGAGAACGCTTTCCCTATGATCTGAAGGGCAGAAGTGCTGGACTGAGAGCCCCAGCACTTGTGTTAGGCAGTCTGGGGCAAGGGAGAAACAAAATCCCCTCCCCAGTTCAGAAGACATTAGCTGAAGGCTGGGTCAGTATGAAGGTGTGTGACTGTCCCAGTCAGGTCTTGCCACATGTCCTCCAGGGTAGCTGATCCAGAAGAAGAGCTTGCTGAGCTGCAGGAGGCCATTCTGCTTCCCTTTCCCTTGCTACCTTCCTGTCCTTGCCCTCTGCATATTTAACCTTGCCCTTTTGCTGGGCCTGATATTGGGCTGATCACCTGGTGAACCAGTCCAACCCACTTACCAGGCCAGAAACAGGTCACTTTTCTTTTCCCCTGGAGCTATTTTTCTTCTGGTTTAGTGACCAAGAGGTCAGATGAATGCCAGAGCCCATGCAAAGAAAGTGTTCCATTGCTTGTATTGGTTCTGTCCCACCAGCTAAGAAAGAGCTGATCCATCCCTCTGCATGCTGATCGGATCTGCCAAGACCCTGCTGCAGAGCAGAGCATCAGGGACATTATTCTATAGGCTTATGTTAGACATTCGGGAGGTACAGTGTTGTGCATCAGGGATGCAGACGCTGACGGTGTTTGATCTTCTGCTCCTGGTGATGCAGTAAAAAGAGCTCATTCTGAAAACAATTTGTTGTGACGCAGCCATATGGAACAGCTGCAGATGTGATTTTTGGCCTTGATGAAGTATGAAGAGTCAAGGATTTATTTGAACTGACATAACCACATACAAATTTCAGAGCAAGTTTGTTAGCGTCAGTCTAAACCCACTCTTCTCACAAGGGAACGTGTTATTCCTTGATAAGCAGTAGCCTCATGTACCAGTATTCCCTTGTACTTAATTCCTCCACAGCAGCCAGTATTGTTAAATAGTATATTAGTCTGAACAAAACCAGACTTTTCTTTACAAGCAACAACCGCATGGTGCTCTGGTCCGGTCAGTTCTGCTCGTGACCAGAACCTGAGTTAATTGCTGTGTGCTGCAGTTGCATTCAGGTTTGTACCACTGATTCTCTTCACTTCAGCCTAAGATGTACACCTTGTAAAGAAAAAAACCTGAGAGCGCTATATCCAGATCCAAATATGCAAGAAAAACCCACTCAGTATTCAGATAGCAAAGAGGAATAGGACTCTTTATCCTTCCTTCCTCAGTAGACTTAGATCCACTGCAAAAATAAGAATTCAGGCCTGAAGTGATGTCTCCTCAGTGCTTCTTAGGAAAATGAGCTGCAAAGTTGTCAGTAAGACTGGTTTTCTTTTCCTGTGCTGAAGCCAGGATGCACTTGTAACATAAGACAACAAGGGGTGAGGACATACAATGCCAGCAATATGAAGGGTCACTGTTGCAGCCATGGGTGGAGAGATGCCTGCAGGGACCCTCTTGTCCCTGTCGCTCCCTTTAGCTTCTGCCCTGAGCTGACTTGGGGGAAGTGCTGAAAGCTGCTGGGCTCTTATGAGCCAGCTTGCAGATGCTGGACACAGCAGCTATGGAGCAGCAGTGACTAAAGCAGCATACAGTCTGGCCACATTTCCCACATATGTTTTTAGAAGCCCTCAAAACAGAAAATAACTTTGTTGTCTCTGTTTTAAATTAATTCTTAAAAGAAGATTAAGTTGATGGGTGCTATCTTCTATAAAAAGGATGAAAATCTGGAGAAATTTCCGCTGAAGACAGCAGTTGAACTGTTGTGCAGTATTTGGCCGTCTGTATCTGGTTTGTTTCCAAGTTCACCAAGTCCTTGGGAATAACAGAATTAGTTTTGAAAGGTGGTGGGAGGACAAGGCAATAGGTTAACTGATCGTTGACTGCTGCTGGCTAATGGCTGCCTCTGGAGGAACTCTGCCTTTCATTTTCACTCGGGTGTTATCTATTATCGATTTTTATATGGGAGGAAACTGCTAAATAACATGCTTCTGTCTTTACTTTTCAGACATTATTATCCAGTATCCTCAGTTCTCTGGCTACTCGTACATCACCTTTGAACCACTAAAAAACTCCTATCAGATATTTCAAATTACTCTTGAATTCAGGGTAAGTTTAAGCAATTCCAAGCTCACATAGGAGCTTTCAGTTTTATTTGCATATTTTAATGCTGTGGACAGTGGAACGATAACAGCTTCAGTATAGCTTATGATGTATTTGTGGTGAACCTATACATAACCTTCACCTCTAAAGATCTGATTTCACCTTCAGTGAATGCAAAGGAAGTTGGTGAACAGGGCTAAAATATTCGTATCCATTATTGATAGGTAATGCATGAGAGAATCCCTGGGACTAGTAATGCTGGTATTGCAGACTAGCAGCAATGTATGTTGGCAAGGTTATAGCCATGGGAATGAGCTATAGGCTGAAGCAGACCTGGACTTCTTGTGAATTCCAGTTTGGAAGTAGCATGCAGTATCTTTATGTATAAGGAATTGTGATCTTGTACTGAGCAAAATACAGTCTTCCCCTGCAGAATTTAAATAGGCATTATTTTCCGTCTCTGAAGTTTGGGACATTGGCTACTAATACATACAAGGTACTAGACTGCTAAAAATATAGGTTTGAGGTGATGGGATACATCCCACAGTGACTTGTATTAATGCTGTCTGTGTACTATGGGCTGAACTGGTGAGGCTGCCTATAAGCAGGATGGCTGAGCTTTTGGATGCACCCCTGCTCTCTTTTAAGGCAGACTTGCCAGCCTGCCAGCCTGGGCGTGAGACTGTCACTACAGCAGCAGCAGGCTGTTGCCTCACGTAGTGAGCTCACACTTCTGTGTCAGTTTGTCAGCTTAAAATGTGGGATGGCTGTGAAAAAGCCACTGTGTCAGCTGCTATGCACATAGAGAGAAATCCTGTCTGCACAGGTTGTTCAGCTTGAAAAGAGTCAGGCTCACTGGACATGTGAAGCAGGGTGTGTGTCTTCATCTACAGTAAATCTGATGTCTCTACACTTGACAGGCTTGCTAGGACACCCTTGCTAGATTTTGTTCTTGGAGGTCTCACATGAGACATATCTGACAGTCTTTAATGCTTTCAGGCTTCTTTTTAGATCTGATAGTATCATACTGTAAGTAGGAGAGATGTTCTTGAACCATTTAAGCACTACGGCAATGTTTTTCTAGGTTTTTCAAATGCAGGATCAAAATGACCAACCAATTTCTGATTCTTTAAGTTAAAAACACTGTCTGAAAAATGTTGTCCCTTTTCTGGAGAAAAGTCCCCCAGTGCTGCTTGCATTTATCTGTTACTGTGAGGCTTGCACTGATTTTTCATGTTGATCCAATGACTGCAGGCTGAATCGGAAGATGGTTTGCTGCTGTACTGTGGAGAAAATGAACATGGTCGTGGTGATTTTATGTCACTAGCAATCATCCGACGTAGCATCCAGTTCAGGTAAAAGCTCCACCCTAAATCTGCTGTAAAGAGAAGGGGTCATTGCTGCCTCCTGGGACTGCTCTGTGCGATGAGTATTTGCCATGTCTTTGACGACTGCCCCATGCAGTGCACACAATGGACAGTATTACTTCATTTTGTAGTTCTTCAATATTTTTTTTTTCTCCTCGTTCTTCAGTGTGTGGGTATGTGCACTGTTGAACTCTTTTTACTCAGACCTTGGTGTAAAGGCGAAATGATCAGTTTTCTCCAAGGCATTACTCTAGGGCCCATTGCTATGTTAGAAATGCCAGTGAACCACTGCATTTGCTAAGCTTATGGCATATCAGGCTGTGCATAGTCAATTTCTGCTTTACAGCAAAAGGACCTACAGATATCATAGCAAAATGAAGGATTTAATGCGAGCAAGGGGCTTGGAATGTCATCTTATATACCTTGTTTAGATGAGAGTTGCAAGTTTTTTAAACGAAGATGGAGGGGATTTTTTTGCATTCCCATAGATATGAAGTAGCTCAAGGATCTCTGTACTGGGGAAGGTGAGTCCTCTGAAAATAGGGAATAACAGAGTGGGTGATGTGCCTCAGTTGTGTTTCTATTCACCTGCAGGGAATGGTGGTCAGAGAAAATGTCACGTTTTGTGGACATTCAGCTCTGCAAGAGACTGTCCTGGAGGTCTTGTCAATCAATACTGAGTTTCTTATAGAACCTCGGAGTTATTAATGTAGCACTGCCATTCACCTGAGAGCTGGAAAAAATCCTAAGAGAACTTACTATGATAGCAGGAACTTAGATTGTAATACCTTCCATGTTGAAACACTTTCAGCTGTTGGCAAGCTTTGCAGTGAGCTTGGTGCAGCCAGAGAAGGTAAAAATCTCTCCATGGGAGAAAGACAGATAATGACATTTGAAACTTAGAATAGATCATATGTATTCCTGCTCTCCAGTTTAGCTGTGGTCAGGAAATACGCGATGTGAACCAGAGAGGTTCCCAGAAGCGAAGGCAATATTTGGAGTCTAAAAATAGCTTTCAGTTATTGGTTAATCTGGGATTGTCACTTTGCCCTCTCATGCTACCAGGTTCAACTGTGGCACTGGAGTTGCAGTCATAACAAGTGAAAACAAAATCAAGCTGGGGAACTGGCACAGTGTCACACTGTTCAGAGATGGGATGGATGGATGGCTCAGGGTGGACAATGATGCTCCAGTGACAGGAAAATCTCAGGTAGGTAATGCTTCACCTGCAGCTTGAACTTGGCCTTTCTCAAGATTATGATGACTTTTTTTTCTTGCCAGCAGAAATCTGGTCAGATTTAAAAGATACATTTATCAGTGTTGGGGCATTTAGTGAACCTGGATGGGTGTACAGATTACTCTTCTACATACATAGTCTAGAAATCACATAGATAAATATCCCAGTGCTGAATCCCATCATAGCTTCCCTGTTGTCCTCCGTGCTTGCTCTGCTGCCCTTCTCGTACACTTTGCTAATCTCAGGTACAGGCTGCTGTTAAAAGTTTGCCAGATTTTACAGCTGCTGTCCCTGTTTGCTTTCGTTTTCAAGGCTCAGAGAGCTGTTCTGTTTCCTCGGCCAGAAAAATTAGACACGTGTATATTTATGTATAATATGCGTATAGCCACACGTATGTATATCTGTGTACAGAAGGGCAATTACATGTATACCATGAACATCGATTTAAGTACAACAATGGAGATAGACACTCTGCCCTGACTGATATTAACACCAACAATTTCATAGGAGGCTGCCAGGATAAAGAATAATAGCAGAAGATGTCTCGACTTGCTTATCTGTTGCCAGGCCAGAAAAAAGAAGTGACGTTAAAGTGCTGAAAAAAAAGACAGTTTTAAATTTTTTGAGATGTCTTTCCTCTTCCCTCTGAGAGATGCTATTAGAATACTGCCCCTAGCCCTGAAAAAAAGCATCTTCAAACATCTTATTACTTTACACTTCCACGTGCAAGCACTGAAGGGTAAAAAATCCTGCACATTGAGTTCTCATCAGCCATAGAATGGCTGAGGAGAGGATTTCACTGACTGTCATGCATTGCTATTTTCACTGTCTGTCACGTTATCAGTGCTATGAGACCACACCAATTGCAATTGTGAATCAGTAGAACTATGTCTGGTAGTGACTAATGCCATAGCACAGCCCTTTGGTAAGGCAACATGTGGCTGTGCAGAGCTATCATCACCCACAGCCAAGTAAGATGAAGCTGAAGAAGAAAAAGTGCAACAAAAGGCTAGCAGGAGGATCATGGTTCACAAAGTCTATTACAAGGAGAGTTTGACAGTGGACACACATATTTCTAGCTGCAGCTACAGCAGGTAAAACTTAGTTGATCTAGGTGCTGCTGTACACCAGAACTTGCTGCTCCTGTGGTATTGTTGCTTCTGTGAGTCCTCCTCAGCTCGTCCGAGTTAGAAGGACCTGGATTAGTGTTAGCAGTGTGAAGTGTTTTCTGACCTGATTAATTTTAACTTGGAACAGTCCAGAAGAAGTGGAGTTTGACAGACCATGGAGAGCAGGAGCATCAAAGGCAACAGGAGATGGCAAGCAGTTGGAGGCAGGCTGGAGAGCTGTATGCCCACAGCCCTGGCATATGTCCACCACTGTGGACATTTGAACTCTCTTTAGCCACAGGCTTCACCTAAATTATTTTTCCCTGCTGAAACTGACATCTGTTTGATGTGTTTCTGCAGTGCACTGCAGTGTGAAAACCTATAGGCTCAGTATAACCTTGGCTTATTTAGCCTGCCAGAATATAGGCTATGGGGATATAATTTATGTTATAAACACTATGGAGGCAGTGTTGGGCTGAAAAATCCAGAAAGCTTTTAGGATAAAGGTCAGTGCTGTCAGAAGGACACACTGGTAAAAACTAGTCATGAAAAAAATGTGGAAATTTTGATTGTTTTCTTCTAAAGGGCAGTGAGGTTTTGTAACAACCTTTGAGTATCAGGCGAAAGACATATATTCTCATCAATTTATGGGAGGAATTATGACTCCATTACCCACAGTAGCATGGAATTTGATTCAGTGGTCCAAAAAGATCTGGTTTGGGGTTTTCTTTGTTCCTTCCTCTGCATTATAGCAGTGCTAGTAAACTTGTATGCCTAAATTTCTATAGGAAGGTTAATGACAAAAAAAAAAGGGCATTGGGGTGGAGCAAATATAGCACAAGCAAAGTGAGCAAACCCTACTGAAGTTGTAATTTTATCAGCTTTTGCCTTTGCTGTACTCTTTGGATTTTGTTTTGTCATTTCATTATTATTCAACACTAAGCACTTGCTGGGTTCTGTCCAGAAGGCAGTATCACATTGGTCTGTGTCCACCAGTGCTTAGAGTTTAGAAGACAAACAATTTTGGCAAAAGCAAAGGAAGGAATTGCAGCAAAAGACAGATCACAGTCTCTTCTCAGAACATAAGTGATTTCATTTACTTTTTTTATTATGCTTTTAATAGTCCATGTTAACATGATGGATGTGAGTGCAAAAAGTAATTTGAAATGGTAGACTGATTGGAGGAATGACTAATGAAAAGGAATCACCAAGGAGCAACCTACATGTTCTCTGACACATTCTTTGTGGGGAAAAAAATATTGATTATATGCAGTGTGGCTTAATTAGTTATCCTGTGTTATGTCTGTTCTACATCATGTCATGCTCTGTTTTCCCTTCAGGGCCAATATAGTAAAATTACATTCCGGACTCCCTTTTATGTTGGCGGTGCCCCCAGTGTGTACTGGTTGGTCAGAGCCACAGGCACCAACCGTGGATTTCAGGGCTGTGTTCAGTCACTCAGTGTCAATGGGAAGATAATTGATATGAGACCCTGGCCATTGGGGAAAGCTCTCAGTGGTGCTGATGTCGGTAAGTGTAATGATATGGGGTCTTTAACCAGAGGTAAACCAGGGTTCACTTTTTTGCCTGTTGAAAAAGAAATGTAGCAATGGTCCAGATTTGAGAGGTGGATGGTGTGGTCTCTGCTTTTGGCCCGGTATTTCTCTGTGTCTTTGCACATTGCTTTTCCCAGTTCTGTAATAGGAGGGTTTATCGCACTGTGCAAATAAACATCACTGCTTAGTATACCAACCCCCCTTGTGGACACAGTCATCCTGCACAAAAAACAGTAAAATCAGTTCTCGTGGGCAAACAGGAAGCTCAGTGTTGCCGATATAATTACTTCTGCACTCATATTTCTGGCTGCATCTCTCAGGATGCCTCTTCGTGCTCCTAACTGACACAGTCGCATCATCAGAAATCAATAGTATGTATGCTGTGTTTGCATTTAAAACTATGCACCCAGCAAAATGTGTTTTGCCTAAAGGCATCATTGCATGTGTCCAGAGCAACACAGGGATCTTTCAGACCCACAGAAGTGCTGTGGCCATGACGGAGGGCTTTTCCCCATTAAACCCCATCACTGCCGAGGCAAATAGGCTTTCCTGTTGACTGTCCATTGTTTTAATTTCCAGAGTCACAGTATGTTTTTAAAATATCATGGAATAAATTATTTCAGCAGCTTTATGAAGTGGTATTATAACATTATCTCCTCTTCACAGATTAAAAGATAGAGAAGTATGGAAGTTAATTAGCTAGTCCTGTCTTATTTATTCATCTCTATTTCATCCATGTAATGGGCACTTGAAGAAAAGGCAGGGCAGCAACATACTTGCTTTAATGACCTCCCAGTCTAACCAGTTCAAGAGTAAGGGTAAACCCAAGTCAGAAAGCAAGTGTTAAAGGCAGGAAGTAGACCCCATATCACTGAACTCCCTGTGCAATGCTTCAACCACAAAGTCATCTTTCTTCTCTTCTGTAGCTGTGCATTTGGCATCCCAAGAAGGAAGTGATTAATGAGAAGCCTTCTAACAATTGCTCTGTATTCTCTAGAAACCATGACCCAACTTCTGTGCAATACAGGGGGAGAACAGAGTGGCTCAAGAAGCAGATGTTGAAAAGAATAAGACTTTGGAAGCTGAGAGTAATTTCACGATAGAGTGAGAATCTTATGGAACTTAGACAGATAGACAGATAGATAGATAGATGAAAGCCGTACTGAAGTTCTCCAAGCCCTAATCTCTATGGCCTTTTGGGTTGTGGCTAGCTTCATTCCCATCCATGAATGCTTCACATACTACTGCACTAACAATCAGCATCAGTGAAAATAATGCTGGGTTCTGCCATGTGTGACTTGAGTGATACAGCCTTACTGGCCTTATGTGACTGCACAGACTTACATGAAACTGTACCAGGAGAGACTTGAAAACAATATACCATATAAGTTAAGCTTAAAATAAATAACTGCAAGTGAACCCTACTAGCATCTAGGGATGGTTTTTACTAGCCAGTCATTTGTTTCTTTTCTGTTGGCGTAGCATATAAATCAGGAGTGCTGTGGTACATAGAATTGAGGGTGGAGAGGAGGGGTCCATCCTGCCCCTGCACCGTCACTGCTGACTGTAGCAGGAGTCCACCAGACGTGAGCTAAGGGGCTGGTGGGAAGGCTGCACTCATGGTTTGGAGCAGGCATGGCAGGACCCTGTACTCCTGCTGCAGCTTCTCTCCTTCCTCGTCTGCCACTGCAGCCAAGCAGACCTGTAGTTTGCCTTTTTGGTGTAGTCACCTGTGCTGGCCTGAAGGCTATGGTAAGTCACTGAGAGTTTGTGAGAGCAGCCTATCCTTAAATACCAAGAGTGATCCAGTTCAAGCTGTCATTCAAACCAGTGAGGCCGTGACTTGTCCCATTAATGTTTCCTTCCTTGTCCTTTTCTGTTTCTCAAAGACTTTGTTTAACTTCGATCTGTTTGATCTGCCAGCACTGACTAAAAGTGCAGCAAATACAGTAAGGATGAGCATTGGCTTAGTTTTCTCTTTGTGTCTCAATACATCTAGATCCTTGTTTCTCCACATGTCTTGTCTCTGTTTCCTCATCTACAAAACAGCTAGTGCTACTAATTTCTGCCACTGTAGTGATAATTGATAAGCCGGTGAGGGATCTTGGAGACTGAATACCTGTCCTGCTCCAGTTCACTGTGGCCATCACAATGCATACCAGAAGGGGAAAAGATGGCTCAGTGAGCACTGTGAGCACTGTATTTTAGGAAGTAAATTAGTAACTTCTTTGTTTTACAACAATTTCAGCTTAATTCCAGCAAAAAGAAACAATCTTGTTATTTTCATTTATGTGGCAGCGTAGTAGAAACACTTCTTAACAAGCCCATATGCTGATGGTATGGATCACTCTTAGTGTAGACAAGAGGGCTGACAGCCTCATTTTAGTTAATAAGATTAGCTGATGATGATTAACACCTTCATTGTTTACCATGGCACGAATTTAGATTGAACAAAGAAGCACTTAGGGCTATTGAAATTAAACAAGTCAGAGTGCTTGTAAACAATCTAAAGAGATTTCTATTTTATGAGAAAATAAAGATGAAAACAAGAGGAGAAAAAAAAAAAGGGTAATCCAGGGAATGATTGAAAGCTATAGCTGTCATGGTTTGGTAGTAAGGGCTAATTTTTGCAATTTTTAAGGTCTCTTGCTGTTCTGGTACTAAAAAAGTGCTAAAGTTACCTTGTCTAAATTGCACACCCTTTGACAAATTGGGAAAGAGTTTTTTGAGTCTAGGCAGGAGACCAAATTGTATTGGTTAGCTCAATGATCAACAGCCAAATAAATCTTTTTTGACAAAGTTCTCTGATAGATCAATGTTCTGGCTCTGTGTTTAGGTGAGTGTAGCAGTGGCATCTGTGATGAGGCATCCTGCATCAACAGTGGTACCTGTACTGCAAGCAAAGCAGATTCATACATTTGCCTTTGCCCCCTTGGATTTAAAGGTCATCATTGTGAAGAAGGTGAGAGGATGCTGGGCTGCTTGTATTTCTTTGTATGTGTAATTTATTTTTCAGTGTGTTCGCCACATAGTGACATCCTAGGAGGTCTTATGCTATTACATGGACAGAAGAGAGTACTTGTTTACCTCATCTTTTTGAAATCACACAGAAATCCATCCCACCATTCTCCTTGGGGCTACATCCAGGTCCTACATAATGAGTGATTCTCAAGCCCCATTGCTTATTTATACTAACTATATTTAAGCATATCAAAATTACCTTTCAGAAGTCAATATACCACTCCACAGCTCTAAAACTCTAAAAATATGTGTGCTTTTCTCCTAAAACTGGTGTCTGTTGTATGTTCTGAAATGTAAAGGATCCAATACCAATTTTCTGCTGAAATCACAGAGATCCAAACAAATAGTCAAAAACACACAGCTATATATTCTGTGCTGCAGAACTTTTCGTGCCACCACCCATTGTGTGCATGCTTGCTACTTCGAAAAATGCTGTGGTGAAGCACTAAGGAAAAGGAGCACAAAGCTTTATAGTACAAATACATCCCGAGGAAAGGAAGGGATTAAAGAGTGAAGCAATGCTAACTAGGGTAGAAGTATTTTTAATTTGGAGGATGAAATTTTTTAGTTGTTTTTCATATAAGTACCTAACAAAAGAATCTGATAGTGGTTGGTAGAAGTCAGTCCCTTACCTCTGAACCTCAAGTGACCTCATTGTGTATTCTGGATTTCCAGCATTCACCTTGGCCATACCTCAATTCAACGAGTCCTTAAGGTCATTTGCTAGCACACCCTGGCCCTTGGAACCACAGAATTACCTTTCCTTCATGGAGTTTGAGATGACATTTCGTCCAGATTTAGAGACTGGTGTCCTTTTGTACAGCTACGACACAGACAGCAAGGACTTCCTTTCCATTAACATGGTGGCTGGCTATGTGGAGTTCAGGTTCGACTGTGGCTCAGGAACAGCTGTTATCAGGTAAACAGCATCGCTTTTGTTTCCTTTCCAGTGGTGCTGGTCCAGGAGAGAAATGGCCTGGGAAGAGTAATAGCCGATAATAAGGTGTGGGAGCCCATCCGTCTCTAGTGCCTACTTCTTCTAAGGAAGCACAGAAACACTAGAGCTGTATTCAAGGGGACAGGATTTTCTTCCTACATAAGTTTATATTTCAAAGCTTTATTATCAGTGCTTACCATAACACCACCATCGTACTGCATGTTTCTGGATGGTATTGCAGAAATACCATTCTTCTCTCCTTGATGTTGTACCATAGTTAATTAGGGGATCTATAAATATTTTTACACATAATCTTCCTAGGCTTAGGACTGCACAGTATTGGCACTTTTGTGAGCACCCTGCTCCCAGGTCTTCAGGTCCAGGCAGTAGGTACTGGGATGGAGGTGCCACACGAATATACACCTTCAGGTCTACCCATTCCTCATAACGCTGTTTTTGAGAGATCTGAGGCTAATAGCAAATTTAAATAACTGAAGCACTCTAAAAGATAAATATATGTTTAAATGAGTCACTTAGGCTTCCAGATAAAAACGGACTTTCTGAGAATGATTTATCACATCCTCAAATTAGTGTCTAGGATAGGAGCAATGAAATGCCTAAAAAAAGGGCTACTCTCACAACCTCTTTCACACTCCCTCTCTCTCCCTCCCTTTCTCTCTCTCTCTCTGCCCAGTCTCTGGGCAGCTGTTCCCTGGGCTCTTCTGAAAAGGCAGTGGGCCAAACAGAGGCACTCAGTACCTTGGATGTGGTCCAAGAGGTTGCCAGTTTGTCCAGGCTGACATAGTATTTAGAAACTGTCTATATAAAGCTTATACAAAACGTGTACACTGCCTGCAAGTCTTGCATACCATATGTTTGTTGTGGATGGACATCAAGAATTTTGGCTGTACCTCAGTTAGGAGAAAGGTACTGATTTTCCACTGAAAAAAGCAAAAAAAAAGATCCATTCAGATGACAAAGTGAGCGATGAAATTTCAAGGGAGCAAATGCAAAGTAATGCAGAACCCTAACAATGCACAGCTGTGGCAATACAGTTAGTGCTGTCAGACAGAAGGATCCTGAAGTCATCATGGATAGTTCTGTGATAGCAACAGCTGACTGCTTAGAGGCAAATACAGAAATGTAAGTACAATGCAGAGAATTATTAGGAATGGAATAAGGAACAATGCCTGTGCAAAAATCCACAATGCACCTTTGAAAACATGCTGCCATTCTAGTCACTTCATTTCAGAAGAAATTAGGAAAATCAAGAAAGAAGAATAGTGTTGGTATCCAGGGGACAGAAAGAAATGTCTTCCACAAATACAGCAGGACCCTTCAGCCTGAAAAAGAAAGAATTTGGTGGAAGTATGATAAAGCTTTTTAACTTGTGGATGACATGGAAGTACATAAGGAGTGACTATTTTTGCAATATGGAAGAATTAGAAGGAGCCCAGTGAAACTGCAAACCAAAAAACAGCAGAGAAAGTAAGTTACTTTTTTTTTTTTTTCCCCAGACAGCTCATAAATAAGTTATGGAAATTAATTGTCACAGCATGTTACAGACGACAGGACTATAAATAGGTTAAAAACCCTCAACATTAGACAAATTTGAAGAAGGGCTCCATTGAGGGAGATCAAACACAAATGTACGGATGCAGCCTCTGACTCAGGAAATTGCTAAATGACAAGTTGCCAGAAGCCCAGGAGGATACATCAAGGAAAGAATCACTCCATACTCGCCCTGTTCTTTTCTCTTGCTGAAAACCAACAGAAATAGCTGATGTCAGAGACCTTCCTCCAACTCAAAATGGTGCTTTTTACAACAGTCTTCAATCTTTTTCTGATTACAGCTGTCTAATTCTTTAATGTAGACATTATTGTTTTTTCCCACCAAGAATATTGTAGTGCTTCAGAACAGCTTGGACTAAAGTTTAACCAAGATGTGGATTTGTAAAATGTGGTATGAGCCACAAGCATGTGCCTGGGTGTGGAAGCTGCCCCTTTCTGTTGGAAAGCAGAAGAGCAAGCAGGACACCATCTAGCACCTGGGTAATGGGTGAGACTCCTGAGGCTGGCAAGCTTGGTTGAAAGCTGTCAGGATGTCCTGTTCAGCTCCTTTTTCTAGATAATGTGAACGCACTCACACCCTGTCATCAGCATTGTCAATCATTAAATAAGTAGCTTCCCTATTTTTCTTGCCTGCTTAGCCAACATCCCTTTAAAAGCATGCCTTGATATTCACCATACTTCTTCACACCTACCCTTTGTCCTAAGCAAGGATATAATTCTGGCATCCTGACTATCTCTTCCATAGGATCAGGCTGTGAAGTATTATGATATAATCAGAACAGAATTATAATGTCTTTATAATAAAGGGTGAGGCAAAGTCATTTATATGTGGCAGCAGCAACAGTAGGAAAGGTGACATTTCCCATGTTTTGCCTGTAGTGTCTTGGGATGGCAGCAGCACAGTGTGCACAGTGGGCTAGGGAGGGAGCAGGGTTGCTGAGAGGATCTACAGATGCAGAACCTGAGGTATTACCAAGATGTCTTGGAGGAGAATTTGTTGTCCCCTGGGATTTCCCTTCGCCAGGCATTTGCAGGATCAAGATGCTCCTAATTCAGTTTATTTTTTAAGCTTTGGTTTATGTGGACAAAAGCAATCCTCAGTCCCACAGCACAAGAAGAGCAAGAAGTGTTCAAATGCCTGCAGAAAGTATTACCAAACTCATGCTGGTTTCAGAAAGCCTGAGAATCCAAGAAATATTCAAGAAATAGCTTGCAACTCTGAAGTGAAGACGCTGCAAGACTTAATCATCCCTAATTGTAATTAGATCTAGCAGAGCAGGAGGGTTAACATGTTGATGACCTAGTCAGCAGAGGAGATAAAATGTATGTATTGCCACTTAGTAGCCAGCGAAACCTACCTGGTTTCTTTCTGGGGATATCGTGACTTTTTTAAGGTGATTAAGTTCTTTTACCTGTTGATTTGTCCTAAATACTACTACATAATAAGAAGAATGTTGCTCAGTGATACTTTTTCATGAAGGTTTTCTGAATCAAGGGTCAAACTAATACTGCCAGTGTTGTACAGATAGACGAAAATGTGCCTTGAGAAAATATGCAGAGGCAAAATAGATACAACAAAAAGATTTCAAATCTTATGTTGATTATTCAGAAAAAAAAAAGAAAAAAGAAAAATTGTTAATTTCCCATTTTCAAAATTATATGCCTTTTAAATCAGCATTTTGATCACTGTTGATTCACTATTTCAAATCACAAATTTTTCAGTTAATTTTGAAATGTATCCCTTTTTTAAATTTTATTTTTAGATGTAAGTGACCTGAAAATACAAAACATTATTTAATCCAAAACTATTTTCCTCATTGAAAGCTCAGAAGTATTCTGGTGTCCTAGGTAACACGGATTCTGATTTTTCCAGCCTGACCAATGATTCAAACACACGGTCATTGCTTCTGGAGGAAAGGCTGCAAGATAACATTTAGACATAAAATGCTTTAACCAGTGTAGTAAAATGACATTTGAAAACAAGATACAAAGTTCTGTAGAACTTGTAAAGGGGGATGTGGTTTTGCCCTTTATAAAGTCTGCTATTCATATTAGTGCTGAGCTAATAAAGATTGTATGAACAGTTTTTAAATGCTTCCTTTGAGACTGGTGAATGCTTTGCACAACTAGGGATTATTGTTCCTAGCCAGGATCTCATCACATCACTAGGTCTGTATTTTAGTTACTTCCCCATTAAAGTACTATTTAGTGCTTTAATGTACAGCAGCTGGGCTGTGTGTGTGTCTGTAGATGTCACTGTAACAGGCTGCATAAATAAAGCTGATAAACCAACACAAAGTAGTTCTGTTTTAAAAGAGGGCAAAGAATGTGAGACTATACTGACCATTAAGGGGGAAGCTTTATCTCCAGGCTTATGTCATTATGAAATGAGGATGTACAACTGAGACAAAACTTTGTCTTTATGCGTTATAAATAACTGAGCAGAAGTGTCAGAGGTAGATGAAATGCATGGTGACTATAGAAGCGTTAAAAGTAGAGTGCTTGTAATTTGCTGTAGGAACATAGTCTTATTTCCCTTTGCTGATGGGGCTCAGAAATTATGTTGCTACCTTATAAGGAAAACAAAACAGTGTTTTGTTTTTATTTTTTATTTAGAAAGTCATCCCAAAGGACTTGACTTTTTAACATCACAACAATATTTGAAAATACCAGAAAGGCAATAGCATAAAATACTTGAAAGTTTTCTTTCCCTTGGAACAGGAGTGAAGAACCTGTCAGTCTGGGCCAGTGGCATGAGTTGCGAGTGTCTCGCACAGCAAAGAATGGTATCCTACAGGTGGATAAACAAAAGCCAGTGGAAGGGATGGCAGAGGTAAGCTTGTCATGACTATGACTATTAGACTATAAAATGATTGCGTGGTAAACTACATAGGCTGCCCTCAAAGCTTGCATAAGCTTAAAAAAGTGTACACATTAGGGCAACATTTTCTTAAGCCCAAAACTGGAAATTTGCACATGAAGTCTTCCCTCTGAGGACAGGGATCCTTGTAAAGGCAGCTGAAATCACAACCTTAATGGCTCTTGCCATGTAACTGGACTCACATTTTAGTGTTTTGTTCATACACTGAGATACTTGAGGTTCTTCTCTTGGTACTTAGGGGTTGTGGCTGAGTCTGCCAAGCAATGTGTGCACTATGAAATTAATCGTCTGGAGAAGGATGATATTGAAAATTATGTGCACAAAGTCTTGTTTTAAATTCTGTGTAAATACTGTACTGGAAAAGTAGGCTGAAAGAGAACTGTTTCTTTGTCTTGTCCTTGCAAAAGTAATTTGCAGGACAGAGCTAGGTCTAATAGTCAGCTGATGGTTTGCATTTTATTTTTCCCTCACCAAGAGGTTATAGTGATTCACATTTGTAATAAGGTAAAGTTTTGCTTGTATCGAGGGTATTTACACTGTAGTGCTTTCTTAATCCAAAGATCCTGAGGCTAGAACTTCTTGGAAGATGTATTTTATTCTTTCCTAGTGAAAAATGTGGCCAGAAAACCAGAATCTAGATCCTGTTAGCAAAACCATCTACAGGTTTTTCTGCAAATGGAGAAACTATTTAAGGCATATACTTTTCTTGAAAAATATAAACAAACTGAAATTCTCATTTTTATGTCAAGAAGCATTCAAGCAGAGCAGTCAAGACTTTTTTAAACAGATGGGTTAAGATGGACTCCCATTTTTTTTCTCTGAGTTGGGAGATGCCAACCAAGAAATCATGGGAGCTTTTGCAGGACAGGAATTACACAGTCATCCTGTCTCTAGCTGTTGAACATCTTTCAGTCCACTCCAGGACCCTGACTAGTGTCCTGTCAGGTGCCCTGAGAACTGCTTCTGGTAACTAATGCAAACTCAGTGTTTCTTTCATTGCCCTGTAACTTGCTGTGGGTTATATTTTTAGACAGTGGAAATATTCTCTGTTGCATGGACTTTGCTGTGATTTTAACTTCATGAACCTCATTCTGGTTCTAGATTCACATCAGTGTACTTCACGTCATTGTAAACAGCTAGATGTGCGGTCAGAAGTCACAATGAGTCAGTCTCATGTCTTTCTTCCTTCTGTATCCCCAGTTTGAAATAATTCAATTTTTTCAGCTAGTTCTGATTAGGATAAAGCGCAGTCAGTAGAGAGTGCCCTACAGTGGCTTTCTTGAAACAATTTTACAAAGAAATGCAATTAACAGAAGTAAAGAGGCATTAAAGGAAGCTATAAGATCTAGTGTAGGCTAATCTGAAGATACAAGCATGGTTCCACCTACTCTAATAAAATGTTATTCGCATGTTTCTTGCAGGGGGCTTTCACACAAATTAAGTGCAGCTCTGAAATATTTATTGGCGGAGTCCCTAGTTACGATGCTGTGAAGAAGAACTCTGGGATCCTTAGACCCTTCAGTGGGAGCATCCAGAAGGTATGTGCTCACAGAAACCACCGGAGGCATTTATTTCCATCTCATCCACTGCACAGTTTTGGTGGATTCTGTCCCTTACACCACTGGCAATAGTCAAAATAATCCAAGATTTCACCTCAGGAGCTCACCGCAGAGTGCTTAAACATACATTTCACAGTGAAAAGTTGTTCTAACTTTAATAGCCGTTAAGTGTAACCACTGCCAGTCTCCCTGTTAGTTTGCATACTGTGGTAATAAGTGAGCAGAAGTCATACTGTTCTGAGTTCAGAATGATACACAAAGCTACATCAAGATTGAGAGTCCTCAGAGTGCCCTATAGCATCATATGTAAATAATGAACAGAAAAAATGCTCAAAGCAGTTCTATGTTTGCACTCTGAGGCAACTGAAGGTGTGTTGTAACCAGTACAGTAATGAGTGAAAAAGAAGGTGCAAATTAAAGTGGATCCCAGTCCAGCTAGCGTATTGTTATACTACAAAGCAGTTGCACACCTCACTGCCTTCCCCTCCCACAATTCTTTATGAGGCACATGAATGGAGGGGGTCTTTGTTGGCAGACATTAGGGATGATGTTCCAGTGGGGTCTGCTGTGCATGGGTGCAGTTCTTTTCTGGAAAACATATTCTGTAAATTCATAATAAGTCCTAATAAGTAATCAAAAGAAAGTTCAAACTGAACTAGCATTTGTTCTCCTTATGCATACCTAAAATAATTTGAATAAAACTGGAAGGTTGGCCCTGAATCGTCACAGATTTAGATGAGTGAATGATTGTCTCAGATTCACTTAATAAATAAAAAACCCTTGAAGCGCACCTTATAACAATTGATCAAGGGCAGAAAGGTAATTGCAATTCAGTGTAAATGGTTTTGTCATTCGGTCCAGCATTTTTTACTCTCTTTGTCAGCTAGGAGCTAGTTTTCTCCTTTGTCTAGGAGAAAATAGGAAGTTCAAGAAAGCTGAGGGAGCGTGTAATAGTGATGGAAACGGCTAAGTCACATGAACATCACTGGAAAGGTGAGCACAGCTAAACACAGTGCATTTTGGAGTGCAAGATAGGGAGCCTAGGAGCTATTAGCATAGGTCATGCTTACAAGGTGAGGGGTTGTACCCTAGAGTACAGAGGACCTAATAAGGATTGGGAAATGCTGAGTGTGAGCCCCTGCTTCTGTGATGTACTTGGGAAGGTGGATTTGCCTTCTCAGAGGCCTGAATGGGATGTTAAGAAAGTGTACTGTCTGCCTTTTGGGCACTGGGAGACCCTTATTTGACTGCTGTGTTTATACATCATAGGATTTTGGAGAACTACATGAAAACATTTTCTATACAAGTACTGGAAAATGTGCCATGTATAGAAAGACCTAAGATCTCATTCTCTTTAGTTTACTCAGATGAGGTTAAGAAGTGACTTTATTGTGGTCTGGTAGTTCCTACATGAGGGTGAGATTTCTTTGAGTTCCTGACTCTGACATGATGCAGAAAAAGGCACAATGACAAACAGTGTCTTGAAGCTGAAGACAAGTTCAAACCTAGAAATAAGAGACACATTTTTTAAAGCTGATGCTTGTTAACCTCTGGAACAACATAGCCAGAAGTTAGAAAGAAGCTGAAAAGGTAGTGAAGTGTTCACTATTCCATCTTTACAACAGCGCTGGATTTTGTGCTGTTGGAGTTGGAGTATATATGCTTGATGCAGACCCTTCTCCCAGCAGGACCTTCTGAGGTGCATCATCTGAGTTACACAGGAGCCAGAATAACTATTACAGTTATCACTTCTGGCCTCAAAATCTATTTGCTTGTGAAAGTGGACTTCTTATTTTGATGTAGCTGAGATCAGAAGCCATGCACACATGTAATCTGTCTGCCAAGATACTATCTGAGATTATGTAAACTCATTTAGAGAAGATGAATTGCTGACAAACTGGAAAAATCCCAGCATTTAACAATTCTCTTTGGTTTATATATACAATTTTGGGAAGTCATTAGTTATGTTTTAAATTCATCTTAATTCTAGCTCCTTTCAGGCAAAATGAGATACTAGAAAGCAACAGAAAATGTGGAAAAACAAACTGTTCTGCATAGTGTTTCTGTTGTCAACGTTCCTCTCTTGGGGTGTTTTGCTGATCTCAGAAACACTGTTCCTCAGCAGTGCTCATCTAATTTTACTGTCCTACCTCGCAGCTCAGCTGCTGCAAATCATTGTGCCAGCATTCAGAGACAAGACTGGTAAATCCCACACAGCTTCACAGGGCTTGCCTAAGGCTGTGTCACAAAACAATGAAAATTAATCTCCAGTGGCTGAGAGCAAGCAACAGAGTGAGTTGGACCTCTGTGACTGGAAAACACACGTTACAAGAAATAGACTTTTGGACAAATTTTAAAGGTTACATTTCTCTGAAGTCTTTAGAGAAGGCTTCTGACTAGCAGTACAGTACTGGGAATTCAGATGTTTTTAGCATGTTTTCCTCTCTATTTTTTTTTTTGTTTTTCCACCACATAGATTATCCTGAATGACCGGGCAATTGATGTGAAACAGGATTTCACTTTTGGGATCAACCTAGCAAATGCTGCCCACCCCTGTGTGAGCTCACCATGCACAAATGGAGGCACCTGTGTTCCCAAGAAGGACAGTTATGAATGCGACTGTCCCCTGGGCTTTGATGGGCAACACTGCCAAAAAGGTAACAATGTCTGCATTTCAATCCAGAGAGCTGGAGTCAATCACACAAAAAAAGAGAGATTTAGCACCTACAACTGCTTTCGTACACATCCCTTGAAATAGAAACCCTGGAGGCCAGAGCTCCCTTTGCAACTATGCACATTACATTTACTCAGGGAAGAATTTGTTTTGTTATTTAGGAACATGGTAACTGTTATCCTAGCACAGAGCTATGACCCGTAGATAGGAGCCTGGTATCTAGTTGCTTGTTGGTGGCCAACACTGAACACTGTATAAACCTCCTTAATTATGCAGTGCCACACAAAGGGGGAATTCCTGCCAGTGTCCTCCAGCCAGTGATTATGTTACATCCTGAAGCATGTGCATTGATAACCCTTGTGATTTTATCCTCCCTAGGGCTCACAACAAATGCTGTTCTCATATACAGAAAGGTCTGGTCCTTTTTTAAAACATTCACTACTCTAATGGTCATTTTACCATTTGCACAAACCCTACCTTTTACAGCAGCGGAGACCACCAAGGAGGAAAACATGCCCAGATGCACGTTATTCCTCTTTCCTCGTAGCCACTGTAATAGTTCAAACTTTAGATTCAGGAAAGTTTTCAGGTGGCATGAAGTGTTTAAAAAAAAGTGCTTTGGGTTATTCCACTAGATGGAGATGTTTCCCTTCCGTCAGGCTAAAGCTGGAAAAATTCTTAAGGGAAGGCTTTGTAATGTAACAACAAACTTGGTTCAAAAGAGCTGAATGACATTGTCTTCACCCACTCCTTCGTTTGTCACAAATACAAACTTCAAAGTTAAAAGGAGTGGTTTTAGTTAAATCATGATTAATGGACTGGCCTTTTCTTCTGAAAAAGACAATATCTCAGAGCAAACACGTTATTAAAATACAATGCAAGAAGCCCCTTCACTTACGTTGTTGTGGTCTAACAAATAGCTAGAGCAACGTCATTTATCCTGGCTTCTCTGTGGGGAGGAGGGAGAATTGCAGTTTTGGCTTTCCAGCTACGTGCAGGGTGCTAAACTCCCGAATTCAAGATGGTATCTGCAGCAGTCTCCAGAGGGCAGCAAGGCAAGTGAATGCTTTGCATTCGGGCGTGTGGCCGCCTGCCCGTTCAGCGAGCGAGCGCCTGTGCGGTGCTCAGGTCACAGCTCCCCACCACTCCTCTGCCTGTGACCTCTGCTGAGCCCCGGGAGCACCATGCCCAGCTGCCCGCTGCCACACCTCCCTGCTGGCCTGTGCTGCTGCCGCTCCCCTGCCTGGCCTGACCTCCGCGGGTGCCCAGGCTGTCAGAGGCGGCGTCGGCTGCCTTCTGCCGTTGGCTCCGCCTGGATCCTGGCCGTTGCTTCCTGTGTGAACTCAGCCTCCGTTCACTTTTAAGAGTGCTGAAAAGCACAAGTCACCTATTTTCTGTTCCTGCTGCCTGTGGCTGCGGTTCAGGTGCCCCTCATCTCCCTGGCACCTATGCAGCCTTGGCTGCCACTAGAAATCCAAGTTTTTGCTGATGGATGTGCAAGGCGTGGAGGTCTCTCCTGAACCTCAGTCTAAAGCAGCCTTGATGAACCTGGAGCAGATTTCTTGAGATAATCCTCACCTGTGTCTCTTTGGTAGGGTGGAGACGCAGCTAAGGCAGGATCCAGGTGTGTCTCCACTTCTGCTTCAGAATGAGGTTTGGGTTAGTGCATTTAGCAGGTATGTGAGAGGCTGAAGTCTCCGTCCTGCTTTGCTGGTGGGATTTTGCAACACCACACCCTGAAAAAAAAAAAAAAAAGTGCTTGTGAGGGACTGCACCTCATTCTCCAAAATAACACATATCACCTATAAAGCAACTTAAGCGAGATTGGTATGAGATGTATGAGGTAATGATTCATACCATTATGGGTCATTGGCCAGGGATTCAATAGTGTTTCTGCTGGCATTGCTGGGTTTTATGTCTTCTGTCAAAGCAGTGGGGAACGTTAAAGGTATTTTTATGTTAAATTGTAATGTGGAGTAGAACAGTGAACTGTTGCTGTTCCCTGGGGTAAACCACGGCATGTTACTGACGCTTGAGACCTAGAACTAGCAAGGGGGTTTAGTTCTGGCACTGTCTGCACATTTGTGTATTTTCAGAAGGAAAATACAAATATTTGAGGAAGAACAATAATAAAAGAGTGCTACTTTCATAGGTGATTATAGTTACTTACACAAATAGGAAGTGGAGATCACGGGTTTGCAGAAAGGTGAGCATTAAACTGGTTGAAAGGAGATTTTTATTCTATGAAAAAATGAGAATGTTCTTGTTTTGTTTTGTGCTGACTCACTGCAGAGTGTGGAAGTTACTGCCTAAACAGTAAGTACTGCAAATGATGTGAAAACTGCCCTGTCACTGTGTGTCTGTGTCTGCTCTAGCAATCTGGGTGCTGGATTTCCATTAAGACTGGCAAGCTTCTGTCAATAAGCCAAAATATCTTCTGGGGTTACATGGTACTTCCATAAACCTCATCTTGTTGAGGTTTTCTGCATGCAGAACACCTGCCAAGTGCAGAGCAGCAGCTGCAGAGTTGGTTCCTGTATCTGCAAAGCAGTAGGGCCAGACAGTTGGCTGAGTGCTTTGTAGGGGTAGGTGCTACTTCAGGCTGCCCTGCAGTTCAGAGCACACTCACACTTGTCATGAGAGCTTCACTGCCTCTCTGCCAAACAGTGATGAGGAGAGGGTGAAGGTGTTTAGTCCTGGACCTCCTTACTGGTCCGGTTCTTTTCCAGTTGCAAAGATCCTGCATACATTACGGTACTGCTAATATTTACTTGTTTTCTTCTGGCCAAATTCAGTGCAGCACATGGAGAGTGTACAGAAGAGCAAGCGTAGATAAATGCCCATTAAAGTCTGTAGAGGAAGTCAGAGTGCTAGAGCAAGGCCAAGGGCTGCTGCATGGCATGGGCGCCTTCCCCTGCTGAAGGCAAGAGCAGTGAGGCTGTAGTGCCAGTGTGGGATGTGACAGGGGAAGAAAGGCTCCTTTCATGCTCTGCTGCCATCCACCGTGGTCAGAGACTGTCCAGTGCAGAAGGCGTCAGACCTGGCGAGAGATGTCTGGCCGAGTGTAACACATCTTTTGCAATCTTGCAATGAGGCTGGCAGGCTGCAGACTGTGGACTGCCTGTGGTGGTTTCTTTAGACACATTAGGCAGCTTTCCTGATTTCAGTGCGGATGAAAACAGACATTTGTCATTATCTAAAATTCTCAGTCTTGGCACTTAGAGCTAAATTTCATATTGCTGTTGTTGGCTGCTAGACTACACCAGTTGTCACAGCCAGCCTCTACACTGCATAAAGAAAACAGACATCCATGCCCTGAAAAGCTTGAAATTCATACAGGTAGGATTAGATGTGGGTTGAAGGGATTAGTTCTCCTGAAGAAAATACTCTGAAGGCAGCTGTTTTAAGGAATTTATAAAACTGGCTTATAGTAATGCAGCAGACAGTTAAGAGAGATCAGCAGCAACCTGTAGGATGCTCACTCAAAAGAAAATCTGTTAAGGCCAGTGCTCGTAGCCTACCAGAGGCTGTGCATCAGGGGTGTTCAGTGATTTTTGTCACACATCTGGGTTATTTTGCCAGTGTTCTCCATGGGCAGCACTACACCAGCTCCAGGTCTGGTTGAAAGAGGCTTTGCAGTCTCTGTTGTACAGTCTTTAGTGTCATCTCATTTGCTTTCAATAGTCCTAAAGTGATTAGGGGCACCTGTATGTCCTCCCTGGAGATAGCCGCTCCCCTCACTGCACCCCACAGGCAAGCCCTGAGCCGGCAGCAGCCACTCTGTGCAAAGTCACGTACAAAAAAGAGAAAATGGGGTTCTCACAGGTTGCCTGTGCTGCCTCCTGGCCTCACTTTGCAGGGGTGAGAGGTCCCAGTATGTGCTCTGCACATGGTGCTCCATTAGGAGCTGGGTAGGAGTTTCTTAGACTAAGAACAAAGGGTGGTTATGCATAAGCTTTGGCAAGAGGGTGGCTTGAACAACACAGAGATTCAAGGAATGTGGAAACAGATGAAAACAGTATTTGCTATGTTTTCCCAATACTTTATATTTTCCTGCACTAACATGTATGGTGGAGCAATACATTAGGGCCCTGACACCAAGGCTGTAAGAGGGACAATCAGCAGTTTAAACTATCTCAACTACTGCCCCTACAAGTAGGTACAAACTGATGGTGCCTTTTTGCAAAAGAATATGAGTTCAGCTCAGTTCTGTGCCACCAGCAGCTATCTGCCAATGTGGGAGTGAGTCACTAAAACAGTGTTGTCTCTTTTCCTTTCATTTCCATGTCAGTTAGCTGACACTCATCTTCACTTTTTTATTTGCTTTTCAGCCATTACAGAAGCAATTGAAATCCCACAATTTATTGGTCGCAGTTACCTCACATATGATAATCCAGATATCCTGAAAAGGTAATGGATCTACTGTGAATATAAATATTCTTTTTGTTAACCATTATAATGCTAGGAGCCTTACATAGTAGGATGTTGTATATTTAATTATTTTAAACTGTATTTGCTATATTTTAAAATTTCATTTAGGAAAAGAAAAAACATTTTCTATGCTGTGCTCATGGCTTAATTTGTTATAGTTATCCAAGCATCTTACAACCTGTAGAGAAACAGCCTTTACAGCATATGTCTGGCATGGGAGACTGGTATGCGCTTTCCAAGAGCGAAGAACAGCCATACAGAGCCTGCATCTGTGAAAAGACTAAGATTTTAGCTTCTGCTTTAGCCTAAAATTTACCCCTAGAAGAGGCCCAGACTCCAGCAAGTTCTGGGTTGTTTCAACAAATTCTTCCATCTGTCTGTATTTCAGCCACTGGCTAGAGGAGGCTTCACATGTGTCTTTACCTGCAGGTTGGTTATTTCTCACCTACTGGGACTTTCTGTTTTGCCCTTCTTAACACTTCTTCCACCGGCTTCTCAGGGCACCAGGTCTCCTGGGTGTTCTCAAAATTTGCTTGTTAGATTGCATTTCCCACTAGACTTGGGGAGAAAAAGTTTTTTCTCTTATTTGTGTGGAATAAACGAGTATCTCTTGGTTTTGAGATTCTGGAAGGTCAAGTTCAATTCCTCCACTCCGAAATGCTGGAATTGGGGATGTGAACCAGAGTCCCTCACACATCAGCACGTAGGCGAGTTGCGAGACAGTAGCCCACAAGACCAGTGGAGAAGAAATACTACACCATCTTTTATTGAAAGAAGTCTGTCCCAACTCATTATTTTACTGTTGTGTCGTTCCTTTACATTAAACAGGGTATCAGGATCAAGAACAAACGTGTTCATGAGGTTTAAAACCACAATGAAGGAGGGTCTTTTGATGTGGAGGGGAGACAGTCCCATGCGACGTAACAGTGATTTCATTTCTCTAGGCCTTCAAGAAGGAGCACTAATATTCAGGTAAAGTTTCTCTCCTTACTTTGTCTTGCATACAATACACACAAGGCCCGAGCGAATTGCTACAACACATCCAGTTCACTTCTTCTGTGTTACAGTGTGAGTCAATTATATCCTCAAGGTTCTGTTCAGTGATGGGTCTAGTTGTTGTCTGGGAAGGAATGTGAATTGAAGAGATACTGTGCTGCAAAAATTGTATCATTCCTCCTCCCTCCCAGTTTTTAAAACATGCATTTTTTAATGTGATTTTTTTATAAATTGCTTTATGAGGATAAGAGTATTGTCAATAACTCCCCTTGTGCCTCTTAAAGCACTTGCAATCTCCGTTAAGCAGAGGAGGTGTGGGGTTGCAGAGAGCAGGGGTTGAGGAAATAATCTGCTGATGCCCATGCTCACTGCAGGCTCACTCTTCACCAGAGAGTGCACAGGGGAGCTGGGCTCCCACCTTCTCAAACCCCCAAGTAACCAACCCTGTGACACAAACCCAGCTGTCACCAGGCTTTGTTACCACCACCATACACAGAACCACTTACTGAAGAAACGAAGAATATTACTGTCAAAAAGCTGAAGCTGGGGAGTATTGGGAAACGTTGGGCTGAACTTCTGTTCTCTCTCCAGAATCACTTTCTCTCTTGCAGGCATTAAGGCAGACTCTCTGCAGCTTTTTGCATGATCCTCTTTTGGGACTCCTGCCTTTTGAAAGCCCTGTCTTTCCTCATGATCCCCTTTTAGATTGTGTAAGACAAACACCAAAACAGCAAAATACAAATGCCATTTTAATGGCTTGTTGTGAGGCACTGTTAATTAAATGACAAATACTTTGTTAATCATTTAAGCCAGTTTGAAGCTATATTTTACTTCACATACCTTGGTTGTTGTTCTCTACCATGGACGCATAAACAAGTTGTACATTTCCATTTAAATTAATTTTTTCAGCTTTTTTGCATTCAATTTTGCATAGATAACTTTGCAAAAACTCTTAGTTTCCTCATTGTTTTATAAATAAGGAACTTACTCTGCAGAAATGCTGCTTTTTAAAAATGTCTGTGGGAGATTCTATTTTTACAGGGTGTGTGGTAGTGAGTGACCAACTCTGTCTGTTTTCTAGTCACAAAGCATTTTTATTAGGGTTGTTGCTGTTCTCCAGAGCTGAAGATAGACAAAAGTTTTGGACCGAAAATGCTGAATTTTAGTGCAATATTTGTACCTTTCACATGCATTTAAGAAAGTGAAAAATTAAAATCCCAAATTAAAACTTTTTATCAACAATCACTGCATACTGGAAGGGAGCTCTGAAGAAGATGGTGAAAGTAAAATGCAGGGGAAAAAAAATAGCGTATTCTTTCAGAAAGAGTGATCTTCCTGCTACTTTTCCACTTTTCAGAGTTGAGCCTAGGAGAATATCAGGGCTAGGAATTGAACAGAAGTAGTTTCGTGATGCCTCAAATTAAAGGTCTGTGCTCTTGTCCGGTTTGAATTTCAAAACACAGCTTTTCTTTCCTGTTTTCTATGGCCTGGCAGAGTAGGTTCCCTGGACAATGTAAATGCTGCTGCAAATGCTTTCTGTTGCGTCCTGTTTCTGTAGAAGATTGTACCACTACTATAGGGGATCCCTGTTCATTAGGAGATAGGAATCTCATTTTTGTAACTGAAGGTGTAACACTTAGATGCAGTCCTGAGTAGCCAGATCCTTCTGTAGCTCTTGACCTAGACTGGTATCTTCATCCTGAATAAAAGGAGATGCTTGTTTGAGATTCAAAGCTCTGGGGATGAGTCAAGTTTGAGACAACCGTTTTGCCGTTTGCAGCTCACAACTTAATGCACTGTTCTCAAGTCCCTGACACTGGCCATGAACTTCATTCCAGGATCAGCCTTCTTTGGAGAGATTTGATGTTGACTTTAATCTCTCTACCTTGGTACAGGCTGAAGGCCAGCAGCAGCTGACTCAGACTAACTTCTACTGCTTATTTAGGCAGCTGAGCACCCAATAACTCACTGTGTTATAGCAGCTACTTCCCCTTCCTGAAGATTGGGCCATGTTTCTGGAACCCAGAAATTAAGATGCCTGAAGTGTAAACATGATAGGTACATTATGTCTGCTGAGTAATTTTAGTAGCAGCAAACACTAAAAGCCCTGAAATAATACTAGCAGCAAACATTGAAAAGAAATAACAAGGGCTGCAGCTGAAGCAGGGAACTTTGTTATTGTTTCTGTGTTTATTTATTAGGTTTCATCCTTTCTTACATCACAGTTCTCAACCTTCCCTATAATTCAGATGATTTGTAGGTCTGCACTAGGTGGCGTGCTTATTTGCTCTCGCAGTAATTTATCTATTAACTGTGTTTGCAGCCTCCCACTGGTCTCTTCCATTAGGGCAAAGGTCCATAGGTCACTAACCTTCATAACCTCCTGTTTCAGGGAGGAGCTGCCATGCAGAGGCACCCTTCTTGCTCCCAAGGAATGGTGGCGATGCTCCCCACTCTGGCCTGGGCAGGAGGGGATTTTTCCTGTTAGTCCATGAACCTGACTTTGCAAGAGAAGTGCATTGCTGCTGGGCTTCCAAAGGACTCCACTGAGTCACCCCAGAATCTGAGCTGCAAGGGGAGCTCTGGGGGCTGAGCAGGTGGAGCACAGAGTAAGGACATCTGAGTAATTTGGCAGGCAGGTGGTCTTTGCATGGGAGGCAGTAACATTTTAATGTTTTTTTTTTAATTGTAGCTACAATTTGGGCAGCGGCGTTGCTTCCATCATGGTGAATGGCTCTTTCAGTGATGGCCGGTGGCATAGAGTCAAGGCTGTTCGGTAAGTGTCCATGCTTCAGCTCCGAGGTGTTGAGGAGCCAGGCTGCTATTAAAGGTGCTGGCTGGCATGCCTGGATGCCAGTCAGGTGTGAATCACTGCACCTCCATGCTGTCACATCGACTGGGAGTTGAGCTGTTAGCAACTTGGCTGTTTCAGTACGAAGTACACAAAGATTTTTGTACTGGAAGTGACAGTGCCAACTCAGCATAGCTCAAGGCAGACTGCCAAAGTCACACAGGGCTATTCTGGGCTGTGACAGACATTCTATTAAACCCATACCATTTGGGTTAAGAGTATTTTTCTTTAATGTCTGCATTTTGAAATTCCCTAGTGAGCATTTTGCGGGCTGGCACAAGCACTGGAGCACGGACAGTGTATGCCTACTTTTTCTATTTGGAGGAGGTGCAGATGTCTTGCTGTGTATATATAACTCATATTTATAGCTCATTACCTCATGGGAGGCAAGTGTGCCCAGAAGGGAAAGCACAGATCCCTCTTCATGAGATGCTGGTTCCTGGGAAATCGCAGGCTGACATAGCACAGCCTTGTTCCTCAGGGCTCAGTATTGGGACACTTCTGTTTAACATCTTCATCGATGATCTTCATGAGGAGACGGAGTGCACCTGCAGTAAGCTTGCAGACAACACCGGGTTGGGTGGGAGTGTTGATCTGCCTGAGTGTAGGAAGACTCTACAGAGACACTTGGACAGGCTGGATCGACGGGCCAGGGTCAGTTGTATGAGCTTCAACAAGGCCAAGTGTCATCTGCTGCACTTGGGTCACAACAACCCCAGGCAATGCTACAGGCTTGGGGAAGAGTAGCTGGAAAGCTGCTTGGAGGGAAGAGACCTGGGAGTGCTGATCTACAGGAAGCTGTATATGAGCCAGCAGTGTGCCCAGGTGGCCAAGAATGCCAATAGCATCCTGGCTTGTATTAGAAATAGTGTGGCCAGCAGGACCATGGAGGTGATTGTCTCTCTGTACTTGGCATTGGTGAGGCCACACCTTGAATACTGTGTTCAGTTTTGAGCACCTCAATACATACTGGAGCGGGTCCAAAGAAGAGCAGCTAAGCTGGTGGGGGGCCCAGAGAACAAGACTTATGAGGAGCGGCTGAGGGAGCTGGAGCTATTTAGTCTGAAGAAAGGAAAGCTGAGGGGAGACCTTATCACTCTCTACAACTACCTGAAGGGATGCTGTAGAGAGGTAGGCACTGGTCTCTTCTCACAAATACCTAGTGGTAAAACAAGAGGAAATTACCCCAAGCTGCTCCAGGGGAAGTTCAGACTGGACACTGGGAAGAACATTTTCACTGACAGGGTTGTCATGCATTGGAACATGTGGCCCAGGGAGGTGTCTGAGTCACCATATCTGGATGTGTTTAAAACCCCCGTAGACATGGTGCTTGTGGGTATGGCATAGAGGTGGACTTGGCAGAGTAGGGTTAAGGGTTGGACTCAATGATCATAAAGGTCTTTTGCAACCGAAGTGATTCAATGATTCTGTGAACTTGTGATCAAATTCTGTGATCATAGGAGCCCATTGAGTGGCTCTTCTGCCAGTGCAGTTATTGACCATATATAAAATGGATGTGGCCTAAGAGCTCAAGTAAGAAACAACTGCTTTTAAGTGTGTTTCACCTTAGCTTGTCTATTTTTTCCCTTCTCTGGAAGCTTTTGCTGTTTTTTATGGTCTATCTGATTTTTAACACCACATTAGAACCTGTCCATCCTCCCCTCTCCTGAGCTGTGCAATCTACTTCTTTCCCATTTATTTTTTTTCTCCTCCACAAATGCATTCCACACCCTTTGCAGGTCCCTGAAAGGGATATCTTAGTCCCTGAAGAAAACCTGTCCTCAAGGGTCTGGATTGCCATCTGACAGTGCTCTCTGTGGGGCTCCATTGCATCAGTCTCAGGCCCTTGCTGTGAACCCTGCCAAGCACTGAGTCACCCTGGTCTCTTGGCAAGATGGAGATGGTGCTGCTCCTCCTCCCACCTGATTGTAGGCTGCTTGGATGAGGGCGGTTTGTTTTTCATTTCAGGGACGGGCAGTCTGGAAAAGTAACTGTGGATGATTACGGTGCCAGGACTGGTAAATCCCCTGGGAAGATGAGGCAGTTAAATATCAATGGAGATCTCTATGTAGGTGAGTGCTCACCGTTCACCTTCAGGACCCGGGCACGTTTTTGTGTTTGCAAGGTTGGCTGCAAGGCAGGGGATCCCACCTCCATCCATGTCATGATGAAGCTTCAGGTGGCATCCTGTGGTCCTCCACAGCCTGGTTTTTGAGGGGAGGCTTCTGTGGGTGTGGTGGGGTGGACTGGCATGAGAGGGGACCAGCATCACGGGGTGCACTGTGGTACCCCTAGGCAGGAACACAGAGAAACAAGTAGTAGCTGCAAACCCTGCACCTTAGTGGGAGTCTGGGCACAAGCTTGTTCAGTTCTAACTGATGTTACGATTTCTACAGTAATAAATAATTCGCATCCTAGTTTATTATCTCCTGCTTATCCCCTCTGTACTTGCAAGTGCTTGAAAGATGTATTTAAAAAAACCGCAGAGCAACCTGTAAGTTACAGTTGACTCCTGAGGGGCTGGGGGAGGGGCGGTGGTGTTGCAGGGCGGGAGCAGAGCCCGGCGGTGGGGAGTGCCTGACGCTGCCTTTCCCCCAGGCGGCATGAAGGAGATCGCCCTGCACACGAACAGGCAGTACCTGCGGGGCCTGGTGGGCTGCATCTCCCACCTCACGCTTTCCACCGATTACCACATCTCCCTGGTGGAGGACGCTGCCGACGGGAAGAACATCAACATGTGCGGGACCAAGTGACAAGAGAGGAGCCCCGGTGCCGAGGACCGGTCGTGTGCTTGTGTGTGCGGCTGAGGGCGGGCCGGCTGCCACAGACCTCTACGGCCAGCCCGCGTTTGCCATCTGGGAAGGTGACAGAGCCAAAGGGAACCCCCCTCCCCGGCCCCTCCCCAAAAGAACACTTTTCCCTCTCCTTTCCTGACTAAACCAAACTGAGTATTTTGTGTAGGAACCGCCCTCTCTACCTTTTAAGTGTTTAGTGAGTGCTAAAGGTTGTGCATCAGTGCGAGCGGCAGAGAAACATGTGGTGTTACGGGTAGCTCAATGACTGTGTTGTGGTCCTTAGGTTATCTTCTGTGATATCAAAGAGAGCAGTCTTGAAACACCTGCATTCATCCCACCCTGCAGCTGTACAATGACTGTGCTGTTCAACACACACACCGTCAGGCAGTGTATCTATGCATCCAAACGTGTGTTCCAGAACAAGGAGTTCTTCTTACGACTCTCTCGTTTAGCTAAATTATGTTTCACCCTGTGTAAATAACTGCTGCAGTGACTGGTTTCAAAATATTGTTGTTTGTTCAGGCAGAAAGTTACTAAAAGTCTACTTTTTTATTACAAGCAACAAAATCAATGAACCAATTTTGTAGAAGTAATTTTATACTTGTGTATTTTTTATAGCAGAAGCAGACCTGCTTACATGGTATAACTTTTAACATTTAGGCATAATCTACAGCTAGCTCTTTGCACACTTTTAAAAATAGCAGTGACCTGTGGTTTAAATTTGTTATATGAGAGGCCTAATGTCTGTATTACACAGTTTTGATGGGGATATTTGTGAGTTATGACCAGTTTTAAATCCTACTCTTCTTGTTTTGTAAATTTTGACAGTTTAAAATTGTACATTATGAAGCTTTCATGTCTTAAACAGATTAAAAGATTAGGAAAAATTAGCAAATGCTTGCTACTGTGGTATTATAAATCTTTTTGGTTTTTTTCTTGAAAATGTGAAGAGATGTGCAAGAGACCTTGGTGGGTCACAGTCCTCTTAAAATGTTTTCTAGGCAGTGGACCAACACTTATGCAATCTTGATTGCCATGCTGTAATTTAAGCAGGCAAACCGAGTGCTGTCGAGACACTAAGGAAATGGTCCAGAATTTCATTGTTTGGGGGATTTTTTTCTTCCTTAACTGTTTGAAGTGAATCGGTGAGCCATCGGGTGTAGAAGAGACCCAGGGTGCAGTGAGGCACCCCAGGGCTCGCCACATGCTGGCAGTAGTAGAAGCACAGATGTCCTTAAAGGCACAAGCTCCTCTGAATGCTTACGAGTTAAAAATGACCCAATGTGGTAAAAGCAATGGAGATCAGGAGTTTTCTGCTGCCTTTTTACTGTGTTGAGGGTGCTCCTGCCTCTCTGGGGGCTAAAACATGTCTCAGGACTAGTCCCACCTACAGCTGACTGTGAGCAGCTGCAGGCTCGAGTGGAAAAAATAACAGTTCATACTAGATAATGTCCAATGATGACTGCCAAAGAGACCCCAGCTCCTCTCGTGCACACTGAAGGGAGCACCCCAATCACATATGTTAATCATCTTGTGCTTCTTGTAGATATGGCAGCAGTTGTCAAAAACAAATAGAGGGACATAGAAAGAAGCAGAAAAATACATGGTGGTGCCAGCATGTAATGTGCACCTGTGCTTTGACCCCAGCCCAAATTACAGTTAAGAAAAATTGTCTGTAGGAAACCTGGGTAGCTTTCAGAGGAGCTGGAGACACTCATGGCTCTCCTCCCAGGCAGAGCAAAGTTTTGTTTGGCTTGGGGAGCCCCATGGGCAGAGAGAAACCTGTGCATGGTTGGGAAAAAGCAGGATTAACTATATAGGATCAAGCGTGGCTTTAAAAGGAAAGTAAATGGAATTTGATGCCGTGGGTTGTAAAGGGTAAATGTGCAGAGTTTGCAGGGGGGTGCAAACTAAATCCTCTGGAGGCCGACGGTCTTGCTGCCTGCACACTGCAGCAGCCCTGCCAGGGTGGCCAGACACGGCTTTGGGTGTGTCTCAGCTGCTGGCTGCTGGGGAGGGAAGACTCATATTATGAGCCTGAGGGGTTTCGCAGATGGTGGTGTCCTGTCCTGACCTGGTGCAGGGTAAGGAGATCTGGCTGTCTGAATCCCCCTGCTCCTGGGGACCTGCTGTGCTGCTGGCGACGGGGGCACAACGCTGGTCCAGAAATGGCATCAACCTCCACTCTGTCACGTGTGCCTTGCCTTTCCCATCCTTTCATTTCTGCAACAGGGTTCGGAGAGCAGCTGCAAGAGAAGCATCTGGCATGAGAGGTCTCTATTTTATGATAGTTTACTGCAGAATAACAGGTGTTTTGGTACAAGGTGCTATTTCTCCAGAACAAAAGTTGCTCTTTGGAATACAGGGTATGGGGGGAGTGGAAGGAAATACCTCTGGTCTTGCTGTGGAAAAAGGAAAGCAGCAAACAGGAGCTCCCCAGATGTCTGTTCCCAGCTACGCGTGTCAGCACGCGGGCATGGGGAGCGGCGGCATCACCCGGCTGCGGCACG